CCTGCTAATCGCTCGTCAGTTGCACAGCGGCTGGGTGGTGAGGCTGTGCTGCTTGTTATTGTTTTACAAACCTTCAGCTCATCCCAGTGAAGGGCTGGATGTCAAGTACGTTTTAAACTAAACTGTTGTAACTGGGCATCTACCTTGCAGATTATCAGGAGCTGATGTTCAGGACTCTTCTTAAAATTCTCTGCTGGTGGAAGTGAATTTCAAATCAGGGGAGTTATGTCTGCAGAAAACGTGGCCTTCTCTTATCCCTAATTGACAACAGGGGAAATTATTGCAGAGAGGGTTTGAAAATTGCTCCTAGCATGTAGTGAATTAGTGTCAGAGAACAGTAGAATTCAGGAATTCCTGGATCTTACATCTTGTCTAAGGTGGGTTTTTTTAAAGCCTATATAGTTAGACCATTCTGAAAGGCTTTATGGGCACTCTTATTTCAGTATAAAATGATTTATTTCGGTTAAGCTGTTCCTGAGTGACAGAAATCAGTCACTCATATCCTAAGTAATAATTTGCATCACTATAAATTGCACCAGTATACAAGAGAAGGTGTGAATTTAAGTTGTTACACCTTACACTGGTGCAAATCCATATTGGGTATATGAGTATATAGCTACCACTGCTCATGGGGAAAGGGGGGGGCGAGCATCTCCTGCTGACAGCTGTCTGCACTATCAATTCTGTTGGTATAACTTATGTCAGGGCAGGGAGAGGGAGCAGTTGGTGGTTTTTTTTTCCCCACTCCTGAGTGACATGTGTTATGGGCAAAGTGCTGGGGTAGTTATAGCCTTAATTTCTTAGGCTATGTCTACACTGGCATGATCTTGCACAAGAACTCTTTTGCAGAAGGGTTCTTGTGCAAAAACTCTTCCAGAAGAGAGCATCTACACTGGTATGTGCGTTTGCGCAAGAGCATCCATGCCAGTGTAGATGCTCTCTTGTGCAAGAAAGCTCTGATGGCCATTTTAACCATAGGGCTTTCTTGTGCAAGAAATTTGTTGCCTGTCTACACTGGCCTCTTGCGCAAGAACAGTTGCGCAAGAGGGCTTATCCCCGAGCAGGAGCATCAGAGTTCTTGCACAAGAAGCACTGATTTAATACATTAGAATGTCAGTGTACTTGCGCAAGAACTCGCGACCAGTGTAGACAGGCAGCAAGTTTTTGCGCAAGAGCAGCCGCTTTTGCGTGAGATCGCGCCAATATAGACACAGCCTTAGTTAAAAACAGCTTTAAAATAAACCAGTGCAACTCTCTTATATAGACAAAGTACTGACCATGTTGCCTTTCCAATCTGTAACTTTTTCAGTCCAAACAAAATTCACTAACTGATTTGCTGCTGTGCTATATCATGTATTAATATTCTTTCAGAATACTGTTGTACCTGTGGCACTACTGGAGTGGTGTCTTGCTTTGTAAATGAGTACCATGCCATTTAAGGAATTGCACCAAAGTAGTTAGTAAATTGCAGTCTTCAGGCTTGTGGGATTTGTTCTAAAATAAATGGGTTCAGTTCAACTTTCACTGAGCAAGTACAGTGACTATTTTAGTGTCCTGGTAGGAAAAGTTTCTTTTTCCCCTGCTTTCTTTTTTTTCCTGTTATCAAAGACAAAGAAGGTAGTTCGGAAGGTAGTTGTGGAAAATATTTGATCCATTTAAAATGCGTAGCTAATAAACCTAATATTTTCATAAGTTATGCAAACTCTGTATAGCCTCCTGGCAATAGTCCATAGAGTTGTGAAAGCTGACACTAGTATTTGTATTTCTGGATTTACAGGGTGACCTGCTACTATCACATTTCAAGTGGTGTTAAATCTTCTGACAAACAAGTGGAATAGCAAACATTTCTGTTTTAGACCTGATTTGTTATTAGGCATTAACTCTTCAGGGAAACTTCTGCAAAAGGAGATCAGTATTGTTTCATGGTAGTGTTCATTTTTATAACTTGTCTTAACACTATTCTGTGTTAATTAGGATTATGTGATAGAATGCATTTGTGCTCTATTTTCACCTATGTTAACTTCCATTAGTTATGACTTTAGTGATTTATACCCTTTTCATGAGAGAGCAACATTGAATGCCAAGAGTCTAAATAGTGTACCATTTTTATACACTGATTACTTATGTTTTGTCGCAAAATATCAGAAACATAAGCCTTGTTTGGGTAGTGGCACTACACGTTCAAAATAGCCACTTTGTCATTGGACAGAGCCACAAAATAATTGAAACAAAGACTGCAATAATATATAAACTCTGAACAATTTTATAATGCACTGTTGATTAAGAAGATTCATCAACGTAGCTTAATGAAACTTAGCTTCGACTATCACAATTCTATCATTAAAACTAGGACTTCTATAAAGAAAGAATGTTCTGCATTAAACTGGTATCTGAGCATTTCCACTGCTGTTTTGTTTTTTAAATATTTCCAGTAGTGCTTATGATGTCATGCCCCACTTTCATTTACATCTAAGGGAGGCTACCTAGTTGGACTAGGAAGGTCTGTAAGTTTAATTATTATTATTATTTTTTTTTTTAAGGAAAATACTGTAAAATGCATCTAAGTGAAGTTGCTATGACTATTTGACTAAAACAGGGCTACTCAACTTTGGAAGCTCTGGGAGGCCACAATGATACTCTCAGCACATTCTAAGGGCCACAACTTAAGTATGGTTGCATATACATGCAAATAGCTTCTTTCACATTGATGGGCATGAATACAAAGTGCTATCCCAGCACTCCTGGCAGCTTCTCCCAGGGGGCTAGAAGCACCAATACCCTCTATGCCTCTGTTCCAGCCAGCCATCTGCTTGCGCCTTTAAGTGCTCACCCCATCTGGGAGACACCTCACTGTTGTGGAGCATGTTCCCTGTGGAGGCCATGTTCAAAGAATCCTGCCCATGGGCTGCGTGTTCAGCCCTGCGTAAACCCAAACCGCACCACGGGCCTCATGCGGCCCGTTGGCCATGTGTTGAGTAGCCCTGGACTAGACAATATTTACAGAGTCAAGTAATTTATTGTGGATTTGTTCTCCAGAAAGATTAGCAGCTGCACAGCACATACTACATTTTCAAGTTGGGAATCTGAAAATTTTTGCATCCTACAATTTAATGGAGACTTCATATTTCCACTGTGCTTATTACATTGAAAACATTGCATTTCATTGAATGTATTTATCATATGTATTAATATATGTATTTTTCACTTGCTAGGAGATCATGATGGCCACAAGGATGTTGAGCACATATTTGCTATTCTGCCTAGTGTCTGCATTCTTAATTTCCTCTGTAGCTGAGGGTCACACAGAGGAGACTCATCAAGCAAATATTCGTCTTGATAAGAGCCTAGTACAAGACAAAGAGTATGTTCTTTGTATTCTGTAAAACTTGTATTGCTCAGTGATTCATTTTGAAGTTGGACTTCAATATATCAGGGTTGCCCTCCCTACATGGCATAGAAAAACTCAGTCAAAATTATCTTTATACACTGTTTTTCCTTGTGTATATTGGCCACAAAAACATTGGGGGGGGGGGGAATATGCATCATGAACACTTACACTGTAAGATTCTTGTCTTCTCTCTACAGTGGTTAGAAGAGCCACATCATATAAATAGGCCCTAAAGCTGCTGGTGGGGAAGGCTTCATCCAGCATTGATTCTGTGGAAGACTCTCATAAGGAGATACAATTGCCTCCCAAGGCTAATTTAGACAGGCCCCCAACACTGTCTAAATTATGGCAGATCTCTTTAGATCCTAGCATACCATGATCAGGACACAATGGTGGCTTAAAAACACCATATATATGTAGATTGGGAAGAGGGGGAGAGGAAAAGTTTTTGATGCCAGTTTTTGATGCCACTTCTCTAACAGACTCAACATAGAATCTCATCCAAACTGTTGTAGATTAGTTCCTTGAGCAAAGAACTGTTAAATATATAAATAGGCTTTTATATGTTAACTGCTGGCTTTATTTTGTATTTTCAGCCACATCATGGAACACTTAGAAGGTGTAATTGACAAACCAGAATCTGAGATGTCCCCACAGGAGTTACAGCTCCATTACTTCAAAATGCACGATTATGATGGCAATAATTTGCTTGATGGGTTAGAACTTGCCACTGCTATATCACATGTACATAAAGAGGTGAGCAGTATTTATAATTGCCCCAGTGGCTCTTCAAAACAATACGTTCTCATAAGTAATTCCAATTAGAATATGCATTTTCTGTACAGTCAAATTAATTTTTAATGTGAGTTTTTGTTTTTATAAAAATATAAATTTAACCAGGGTAGATTTTTTTTTAATCTCCAAAAATATTGATTTAAATCAAATTTCCCTCTAATAGTACTTACATTTCTTAAACAGTGGTGCAGATCTGATCACTGCTGGACACTATAGCATTTTACAACAGCTAAGAGGGTGTACTTATATTTTGATTTGACTTTTTTATTAATTTAAGAAATAGTTCACCATGCTGTATCTGCTACAGATGCAGTAGCAGTACATTAGGAATGGCAATAATTAAATCATGCACACACACACTGATATACAATTTAAGATTTAGTTTAATAAAATGTTTCACATTTGCAGTTGCAGCAGTCTCCTGAGTTGCCAGCTGATGGCTGTCCTTAAACTTTTTCAAATTTTATTAACTCTAACAGACCCAGTCCTCAGAACACTAAGTGTACAGTGCCCTTAAAACTTGAATAGCAAACTCTCAAAATGACAGTGGGAGTGGGGAAGATGATTCATAGACTGAAGCAGAAATATGAGTTCCTGCTTTAACTCCCAGTCTATTTCTTAGATTTGTGTGACTAATACCAAATGATGACAGTATACCCTTTCTGACTGCAGAGGAAGCTACTACTGTGAAAAGTTAGCTTAGCAACTGAAGGAACTCTGTTTCAAGGTGCCTGGCTAATGATTCGTGCCAACTCAGGGGAGAGATTTTGTTCAAAACATCAGTAAACATGTACTGATATGTGGTTTTGCTCCTGTCTTGAAACTTATTATGACTGGCATAACTGAGGGGTGGGTGGGTGTGGTTTGTTTTTTTTGTTTTGTTTATACACCCATGCCAAGGCAGTATTAGCATCTTCAGAAGTTAGGCATCTACCTTTTCTATCTGGGATTAAGAGTTAACAAGAGAATAAATTTTACTGCCTGTAGTTTAATTTTTCGATGAGGTATTTCATCATTGTCTCTTGAAGTGCCTTCCAAACTTTGACAGCATCAACAATGCAGGTGCAGCTTCCCTGGAGTTTAAGGCTGTGGATAAGAGATTTCAGTATACTGCGCATATCCACTACATTCCTTTTTAATCCAAAGGTAGATACTTTGAATGAGATACTTGTATCTAATCCTGGTTTTCCTTCACAATTTTGTGTGACCAGGCCAATTCTTAATAAATTATTGAAAGCAATCACCCACAGGCTTCCATCAAACATTTTGAGGGAGAACTAGTTTGGATCTGCCTGCTCATTATAGTAAAACTGCAGTAAAATGGTTGTTTCAGAAGTATTTTGTGACTTCATCAACATTTTCTTTTCTGCCTGAAGAAGACATACATAAGTCTTTGGCTAAAAGATGCACTAAATGAGCACTGCAGCCATATGTTGTTAAGGAGCATCCTTCCCTTTCTTCTAAGTATCTTTTCATCTTTGCCATGGTTTCTCCCCCCCCCCCCCCCCCAGGTAATTACACAAACAGGTAATGCTGCAAACTGCACATGTGACAGCAGAATTTTTGTTCAGTTTTACAGATTTCACTGCCATTTTTTAAATATTCAGTTGTAGGGGCATTTCTCAGTGTATCTAGTGTTTCTTAAAGATATGTAACACCATCTTCTTGTCACAGACACGTATTGCTAGATCATTGCATACATTGCTCCACCCATTAAAGCTTAAACAGGCAAATTTCCCCTCTGTATTTCTTGCACATTGTTCAAATTCCTTCTCATACACTGTATCTGGCAACCTTACACCATGTCTGTTCTTCCAGCTGGCGTGTAGCCTGGTCATAAGGACTCACACTTTTACTGACATTGTATGGTGTTAACCATGCACAAAGGAGAATTTGTGGCATAAATGAACCTAGCAGTCTTTTAATCTAATGATGTCTTATTGGTATTTGCTGATCCTTACCACAAACCGATCCATGGTGGTGGTTTTTCTGGATCATTACAATCTTTTTGCTTGCTGCTTGTGATAGGTTAGATCACATAAGGCCCCAGCATGCTGGTCATGCCACTGACTCCATCACCGTGTCCTGCTGAGCCAGATTCTCTGGTCTCCCACCAGCCAAGGTACAGAGTTGGGATTACTACCTCCCTGCAGAGCACCAGATATTGAACCAATTCAGCTCCAGGAGGGCTCCGCTAAAAGGACTCAGCACCCAGGAAACCAACCCTCAAAAGTAGGGGTGGGGAACCTTTTTTTGGGTCAGTCACCAACCCACAGAAAAAAATCAGTCAGGGACCACACAAGTGAGAAGGGCAAAAACAAAAAAAAGCCCCCCAAATTCTCAGTGGTGTGGTTGCCAACTGAGGAGACACACTCCACACCAGTGTTTTTTCAACTTTAAGATAGAGGAACACAAGGATTTTTTTCTAGAAATAAGGTGGCCTGCCCCTTTAAGGGTGGTCATTTTGAACTCTGATCTAGGTGGCACACTGGTGTACCACAGAACACAGTTTAAGAAACACTGCTCTACATGTTCCCCTCATACACAAGAGCCCAGGGAGGCCTGGGCTAGTAAATTTTGTGTGCTCCAGTCCCACGGGGGGACAGCCAAGAGGAGGTCTCGTGAGCCTCGGGGGGGTTTCGATTAAAGCAAGCTGGGGGACCATATCTGGTCCTCGGGCCTTAGGTTCCCCACCCTCCTCAAAAGGGACCAAAACCCCAAATAAATTTTACTCTTGTGTAAATGTTCATAGGCTGGATAAAAATCAATCGGTAACTTTGCATTCAGTGCTCCTGAGAGGCCCTATTCCATCTTAGACACTGTGGCTTGGAAAAGCATGATGTAGTCATAGTTGCAGAGGAGAGAACAGCCTGGTGGATGGGAATAGAAAGGGGAGTTAGCAGCTATATGATCAATGTGCTGCTGTAAACATGTTCCTTTACTGGAAGTCTTTCTTCCTCAGCCCTTTCGGCAGGGCTGTCCCAAAGTGGGTGCAGGGCCTGGGGCAACACGGTGCAGCTTCCACTCCATTGCCCCCTCCTGAGCAGGGTAGTCCAGGGGATTACAGGGAGCCTGGTGATGTGGCAGGAGTTCTGGGC